GTGTACATTAGGTCTCAGAGGTGAGAATTGCATTTTAAATCCTGTACATGATAAATCAAATGGTACAGTTGGCTGACATTAAAAATACTAGAGAAATTCCATTTGTAAATACATCATCAATCCTCTAAGGATTCATAGCAGTGTACTGGTGGTTCCCCCGATTGCAGTAGCTACATGTTTATAGTCATCAGTCCCCACCACCCTCCTCATTGCTATGAGAGGGGATTTCAATACCCGTCCTCAACCTTCATCAGCTGCAAAAACCTCAGTTCTGCACAGAATGAATGGACAAGCAAGGAATAGCTCTGTACAGAGCTTCCCATTAATTCACAAACTGCAAAAAGTAATATATTGCAGTTTACCAATGCTTCACTGTTCAACAGGTAAAAAGTTTTCAGGCATAAAATTAGCTAATCTTACATAATTTTGGGGTGCTGAAAACTAAAATGACCCTAAAAAATGTTGATTGGCTCTAGTTTCCATGATATATTCACCCATCTAATGACGTAAGCCATTCAAAATTATATGCAACTTCAGCTGCATATTGCGCAATTGATATGTAGTCCTAAGAAAATTGAAAGGAAGGAGGTAAAATATAGAACATACAAAGCATGCAGAAATCCAGGAAGTTGTGACAATGTGTGGAGCCCACACACTTTGGCATCCCTGCAGACACAGAGGCTACTCAGCTTTTATGCCTGGTATCCTGAGCATTTGTCAGTTTTTGTACTGTCAGTGCAAAAGGTTCTGCCAGTCACTATACTGTCACTGTAAAAAAGGATGTGTAGGATGTGTCAGTTATCACATAATCTGTCAGATGGCTGTCAAAATGTTAGACCAGTTCTGTTAGTGCAGGGATGTGCCAGTCACTGTTTGTCAGTGTGAGAAATCTGTCACAATTCGGACATAGTGAAAGGATTGTTTCGCTGTGCAGTTATTGGCGGTCATTGGAAGATGTTTCAGCCATGTTGCTGGCTCTGTGAGATCTCTCAGTTACTCCTGTGCCATGCCTGACCGATATGAAAGGTAACATGCATCATATCTGGTGCATCCTGTAGGCCAGCCACCCTCTGTTGCTAATGTCCATACATAAATGATGTGGGAGTGGTTGAGTCAAGTGAGGAAGAAATGCCTCATTTATTTGTGCTCTACTCGGCAATGTGACAGTGGATTTAGATTTCAAATCAAGCATCTCAGAATAATAACAATACATGGTGAGAATTGCATTTTAAATCCTGTACATGATAAATCAAATGGTACAGTTGGCTGACATTAAAAATACTAGAGAAATTCCATTTGTAAATACATCAATCCTCTAAGGATTCATAGCAGTGTACTGGTGGTTCTGACCCGATTGCAGCAGACATGTTTATAGTCATCAGTCGCCCACCACCCTCCTCCTCCTCATTGCTAAGAGAGGGGATTTCAATTCCGAGTCTCTGATCAGTCTGCAAAAAACTGGAGTTCTGGAGCAGTATTAAACCTAAAAGCAAAAATGTAATATATTGCAGTTTACCAATTATTAGGTGTGGTAGCTGCATTCATTTTCCTTTTTTTTTCCCTTCTGTTTTCACCTGGTAATCTGGCCAGTAACACATTTCCTGCATTAGAGTGTCCTCACTCTGGATGAAGGAGCACAGGGGCACCTTTGGACAGCATCATTGTCAGTCTGGGGAGAGGGGAGTGTTAAGAAGAAGTAGCAGATATTGATGGACTAACAAATTCAAATCAAACTCCAGATAACACTCCTTAGTCAATTACAGCAACAGTATTTTTCCTTTGGAAATAAAAGTTTTACATAAATAAAAAAAGCTGATTATTGTAAGCACCCCTGTCAGTGGTATATGGTAATGTCAGTAAATGGTTTGTCTCACCCCTTTAACCGCTACATCTGCAGGGCAGCCTGTTCTGTTGAAAAATAACAGACTTCCTAGCTGGATCACCAGGTATAAATAAAGGAAAGGACGCCTAAAAAAAACTTTTGTAGCCATCACATCTAAGAATTGGTAGCTGCAAAATAATAAATGTTTGCTTTTGAGTTTAATACCACTTTCATTCTGATTTTCTGATCTGCATGCTTGTTCTAGGTCTAGGACAGTGACCAAGACAGTATTGAAGCCAGAGATAGTTAAGCAACTAGCATTTTAAAAAAGAGGTAAGAGTTGGCAACCTTTATATGTCAGGACAGGTTTCCTTTAACCAGTATCTAAACTTAATCTCATGTCTATAGGTCCCTTTTAGTACTTAGTAAATGTAAGTGCTGATATAACATGCCCCCAGGTACACAAATAAATACTCCAGAAGATAGTTGTAACAGAAAAACAGAATTATCACCTGATGCCTTATGTCTCTCCTGGGTTGTCCTCTGTAGAAGGCTCATCCTTCTCTTCTGACTCCTGTGCACTTTCATTAGGCTCATGCTTGCCCCCATCCGTTCCTGTTACTCTGCTTAGTGTGAGCTCTGTGTAGAAGCCACGTTCTGGGTTGTTACATGAGAGACTCTCACATTTATAGGCCTTCCCCTTTGAAAATGCTAACACCTTCCTCTTCCAAGCAGAGATCTGAAAACACCTTTGTGTTTTCCTTCTTTCTTCTATGACTTCAAAAGGCAGGAGAACTTCAAAGGGCCTCTCAGGCACATGGACTGGCCTGAGCTCTACACTGTATTATTATTTTTATCATTACCATGTACTGTTATGTGCAAACCACAAATGGTGGTGGACATGGTGCAAGATTTTAAGGGTTTCAGAAACCAGCCTTTCTAAATGGCAGTACACAGTTCTTTTTCATTTTGCTTAGAGACAAGTGAACAAAAGTAAAAGGACAGGGGTGCCAGATGTGGCAGCAATTACCGTTTGTTGAGGATCACCAAAGACTTTAAACAATTTGCTTAATTATATTGGCCATATTATTATACAGGATTTATAAAGGGCTTTACAATGTAAAGTGAGAGTACAGTTACAATAAAATACAACAGGGTTAATAGGGCTCTGCACATAAGAGTTTACAATCTAGTAGGGTGGAACAAGTGGTACAAAACGTAATAACTGTGTGGGATGAACTGATAGAAGAATTAAAAGTTCAGTTGTTAGGTGGAGGCAGGATAGGACTCCCTGAACAGATGAGATTTCAGAGATCATCTAAAGATAGCAAGAGTAGGAGATAGCTGGACAGATTGAGGTTGAGAGTTTCAGAGGATGGGAGAAGCTCTGGAGAAGTCCTGGAGAGGAACAGGGAAGGAGACAAGAGAGCTAGAGAATAGGAAGTCTGGGGAGGAGAGGATAGTTTGCATGATATTTTGAGACAAGATTGGTGATGTAGCTTGGGGAAGAATTGTGAATGGCTTTGTATGTTGTTGTTAGTATTTTGAATTTTATTCACTGGGCAATCAGAAGCCAGTAGAGGGATTAACAACGGCAGTTAGCAGACACTGAGTGGTTGGTAAGGTGGATGAGTCTGGCAGCAGCATTCATGATAGACCAAAGGGGGGATAGCCTGCATAGAGGTAGACTTATGAGAAGCGAGTTACAATTTTCAAGGCGAGAGATAACAAGGGAGTGAATGGGCCAAATTTTACAGAGGTGAAGTCTACAAGATTTGGACAGTGATTGGATTTATCTGAAAGGAGAGATTCTACAAATTATATGTAAAGTGACCCACCCACCCCTGCTGTTTTATGTGATTGGACTTGGGGAAGGGTGACAACAACATTAGAACTCATATTGGGGCTCATCTAGTGCCTGCTCTGTGTTGAAATAGTGATAAAAACAGAATGGTCGCCCTTACATTCAGAGTGTTCACTCTCCTTTATTCATCCCTTTCATCTGTGACAACTCGATGTCAAAAGAACATTTAAGCAATACCACTAGCTAAACTGAAACATTTCATGACTTTTGAAGAAAAGTGACAAAGTAGAGAAAAGAAAAAAAAATCCATAAGCAACTTACTGCAGAAGAAGTATTATGCTTACCATGCCAGCGGGCACTGATCTCAGATTTTTGCTGTCTTCGAGATCTCCAGTAACTAAAAAATCTTCAACATCTGACACACTACCAGGTGTGTCAGATAGCTGGCCCTTCCATTGTATGATTTGGTTCCATACCCCAGCCTCTATTTCACTAAAAGACACAGTAGTGACATGGGGGCAGAACTGTTGGACAGCTAAGTATAATACCTATTCTTTTACAGACAGCTGCATTTGTATTTCTTTGATAATTTCTTTCTAGCGACAGTGTTGCTTTAAGTAATAGATATTGGTTCATACATTTTTCTGCCATTGTTCCTTCAGGGTGAACTGGACACAAAAGCTGTAAGTGCTAATTTGCACATTGTGTGGTGACAGATGCTATACTACATTGTAAAACACCTGTCACCGCAAGAACACACACAAAATAAATTGTGTCCTGTACATCCCATTCATACTGCAACGCAGACCTGAGCTGCATTTTATCACAACGCATTTTACAGAATTGCATGGCACTGCACGCAAGGCAAGTGCATTGTGTTGCTGTACAGCACCATAATTGGTGGAAGGAAGGAAGAAAAAATATGTCACCCCCTTAGAATATTTTTTAGCCATGTAAATGCCACACCAGTCTGCTGCAATTCTGCAAATTATATGTCATTGCAGGGTAGTTGTGGAGCAGCCCTATTCACTGGATGGGTTGCATTTGGTGGCGGTGCTGCTCACCGAATGCAAAAGGTAGTATAATCTTTGCCGTGGCCATGAAGCAAAGCATAGCAGCTGCAGCATGTGTACACCCCCATCCAACTGCCTTTGAAGCTAAATAGAGGAGCAGCTAGGGGTGGTACAAACCCAGCTCAACTCCCTGTTTTTACTGTCCTCCAACCATGAATGTAAACAAGCACACCAATATTTAACCACCTTCCGCCCGCCCTATAGTACAATGACGGGCGCAAGGTGGTTCTCTCGTTCTGATAGGACGTCATATGACGTCCTACCATTCTCACTACGCATGCGCGGCTCAGGGAGCGCGCAGCACGGCGATCACCGGACACAGCGGATCACGGAAAGAGCAGAAGATGTCGGCTCGGTCATGTGATCAGCTGTGTCCAATCACAGCTGATCACATGTAAACACGGAAATGCCGGTTATCTGCATTTCACTCCTCTCGAGCTGTCACGCTGACAGCTCGAGAGGAGAGGAGAGCCGGTAATCGGCTTTCCGCGGTGGGGACATGTACACTGATCATCAGGGCACTGATGATCAGTGTGCCCTGATGATCAGTGTGGCCCCAGAAGTGCCACCTGTCAGTGCTCATCAGTGCCAGTGCCCATCAGTGCCACGTGCCAGTGCCCATCAGTGCCACATCAATGCCACATATCAGTGCCCATCTGACCTGCCTTTCAATGTCACCCATCAGTGCCAGTCAGTGCCACCTATCAATGCCAATCAGTGCCACCTATCAGTGCTGCCAATCAGTGCCGTCTATCAGTGCCATTCAGTGTCGCCTATCAGTGCCAGTCAGTGCCGCCTATCAGTGCTGCCTATCAGTGCCATATATCAGTGTTATGTATCAGTGTCATGTATCAGTGCTGCCTTTCAGTGCCCATCAGTGATGCCTGTCAATGCCCATCAGTGCAACCTACCAGTGCCTCCTCATCAGTGCCCATCAGTGCCACCTATCAGTGTCCATCAGTGCAGCCTATCAGTGCCCATCACTGCAGCCTCATTATCGCACTTCAGTGAAGGAGAAAAATCACTTATTTACAAAATTGTATAACAAAAACTAAGAAAAAACATTTTTTTTAAAAATTTTCAGTGGCTTTTGGTTTGTTTAAGAAAAAATAAAAATCCCAGAGGTGATTAAATACCACCAAAAGAAAGCTCTATCTGTCACAAAAAAATGATAACAATTTCATATGGGAACAATGTTGCATGACTGCGCAATTGTCATTCAAAGTGTGACAGCGCTGAAAGCTAGAAATTGACCTGTAGGCTAGTGGTTAAAGTGGAACTTTAGGTAATAAATAAAATGGGCGAACAGGCAGGATTTTTAATGCAGAAGAGACATGCCTTGTTTCTTCTGCATTATAGCTACCTACCTGCCTGTCCACCCCTGTACAGTGAGCCACGCAGGCACAGCTCACTGTACAAATTTGGCAATTCTAAATTAGACTCATGTGCGGGAGTGACATCATTCCTGCCCAGCCAATGACAGCAGCCGGCATTCAGGACCCGGAAGCCGGCCACCCAAAGATGTCAGTGGCTGGACAAGGAGCTAAGGAACAGCACATCGTAGAATCGGTGGTGAGTATAGTTCTGCTTTAAGTAAAAATACACATGCCCTTTGTATTTAGACATTATTTGCAAAACACAAAGTTTACCGTGATAAATTCATAGCACAATGTTACTTCTGTCCACACTCTGGTTGTCTAGAAATCAGCTTTGAAAACTGCCATGTGACACCATGCAACTCATGGTGCCACTCAGCCCCCCTTGTGCTACATATGTCTTTGAGAGCAAGAGTTTTCAGAGTCAGGCTTTGCAATCACAAAACATAGATAGCATGGGGGTAACTCCATCTGTTTCCAACAATTACTGGACAGCCAGAGCCTGGACTGAAGTCAAACATGGTACTATGCATTTATCAAGGTACATGTGTTATATAGCTCTTTAATGTTCACATAGCAATTCAGTAAAGTTGGCCCTAGATATTAGTCATCACTAGACTTTACGAAATCTTCTTAGCATCATCATAACCTCTCTCTCTCTACCGTGAGGATTTAGCCTTATAGGGTGAGGCACAGAAAGATCAGTCCAGTTGCTGGTGACACATTCAAAATTTTCAGCTCACTTTTTTGCTCCAGCAAGGCAGTGTGTACAGTTTTCCCACATAGGGGTATATTCAGTATAACATAACTCACTTGAGATTATAGCCATCTGGCCATTTCTGTGCCTTACCTATTTTATCATTACAAAGCGACTAACACCCCCTTTGATACTTTGTTAATTGAAGTCACCTAGCTTAAAAAGATTTAGCACAAAGTGGTGGCCAGGGAGCCCACCCTCACTCTTCGTGACCAAGTTTAGAACCCAAAAGTACAGTATCCAGATTAAATAAAATGGTGTGTTAATATCAATAGTTCTAAGGACACAATAATTCGAAGAGTGGGGAGACAGAAAAAATAACCCCAAAACAGAGGTGATAAGTATAAAGGCCTGAATCCAGACCTAATTAGGTGCAATATGAACTGTGACAAAGACAACGTGAGTAATAATATGCAAGTAAACATAAATACATCAATCCCCTCATGTTTTGCATTGTATTGGTATTGTTCTGTCACATGTTCTGTCCCCCTTTGTAATGTACAGTGCTGAGTGAACTGTTGGCGCTTTATAAATACTGTATAATAATAATAATAAATAATACATAAAAAGGTAAAGGCCTGAACCCAGACCAAACTAAGTGCAATATAGATTGTGATGAAATACAATGTGAGCAATAGTCACCAAGTGAACATAAATAATGTATTCAACATAATAGGACTAACACGTCCTAAATAAAAGTGCACAAAAAACACCATGCAAAGAAAACTGTGCCAAAATCAAATAGCAAAAACTATGTGCAAAACTAATCATACAAGGTGCATGAAACTATAAATGCATGAAACTATAAATGCATCATATATAATACATACAAATATAAAGGCCTGAAACCAGACCAAACTAAGTGCAATATGGATTGTGATGAAAACAACGTGCACAATAATCAACAAGTGAACATAAATGATGTATTCAACATAATAGGACTAACACGTCCTAAATAAAAATGGCACAAAAAGTGACGTCCAAAGAAAACTGTGACAATCAAAAAGCAAAGAAATATATGTGCAAAACTAATCATACAAGGTGCATGAAACTAAAAATGCACCTTATATAATTAGGATTGATGCCAGTGAAAAATGCACAGTGGAAATAAAAGTGCGTCAATAAGCACAAAAAAATAATTAAAGCAACGTGACATATAACAAATAATGAGTGACCATCAAAATAAACATAAGTGATCATCAAATCGGCATAAAGTCCATGTAAATAGACTTCCAACTCCAAACGAACAAAGCAACTGGGTGAAATGAATGATAGATCTGTCACCGGCTAAAATGCCTCCTCCCCTCCACGCCAAGACCCCAAGGGGCCACACAGCTTTCAGGCCTAACACTCCCAGGGCCCTTAATAGATATCCAAGATGATAGAATCACACCGATCACAGGAATATGGCCTTCCTCACCGTATAACCGGAATGATTTCAGTAGTGTTGAAACTGGTAATCCTTTTCACAGGAACATCAGCCAGCTCAGACGCACCCCAGAGGAAAAAGAGAGAGCACTCCCATAGTGTAGTCATTTTAAAGCAAAAACTTTAATGGAGAAATGCCAAATGAACACTTACATCACATCAGTTGAAATCAGGCATCAAAACAAATGTATTGATATGGGTTTATACTTCCAGGGTGTACCAAAATGGCGGCAACCATCACCACGTTCCGCTAACAGACCCACACGTTACATCACTGTCCCGTGACTTCATCAATCTATATTGCACTTAGTTTGGTCTGGGTTCAGGCCTTTACATTTTTATGTATTATTTATGTTCACTTGCTGATTATTACTCACGTTGTCTTTGTCACAGTTCATATTGCACCTAATTAGGTCTGGATTCAGGCCTTTATACTTATCACCTCTGTTTTGGGGTTATTTTTCCTGTCTACCCACTCTTCGAATTATTGTGTCCTTAGAGCTATTGATATTAGCACAACACCAATTTATTTGTTTTGTCTCCTTGTACTAGTGGTGACTAGGTCTAGGTGTTTGCAGCTTTTTTCAATAGTCCTATCTATACCTATAGCAGCGCAGAAAGTTTTTTCTATTACAGTATCCAGATTTCCATCAGTACTACTGTCTACCCCTGCAGCCTACTGGGCCTGTTTGTCACACTGTCTTTATAGACATATGCACACTGTACTTGTACCCTACAAAAATACATTTTAATTTAACCAGTTGTACCCCTCAGTAACACATATCACTATACCTAACATACAAACAATATGTACTGCCTGGCCAATAGCTTTATTCCTGACAATGATTCCAATAAGATATCCAGTGCAGCTGATAGACAACAAGTAATCCAAACCCATTTATGAAAATCTCTTATGTGTCAATACATAAATCTGCTTTGCCACTTTATATTTTGCAAACAGCAAAGAGACAGAAACAATTACATAAATATATATGATATACCAATATATGTATAAACTGTGCTGGTTTATTTAGCCCTTTTGTACATTCAATACCCAGAGGAAGACCTATGTTCCCCAATAAAATGTTTTTTCAAGCTAGATTATAGAATATTTTGTTGCATTTTAAATACAGTTCTTCAATAACTATTAGCATTAAAAGCTCTGAGAACACCAAGAAATGAATAATACAGAGAAATAGGGATTTTACTGTGCACCAGATCGATATTGACAGATAAAGAGATTTCCTGGAACAAACAATTGCAGGCAATGGTTAAATAAAACTATCATGGACCCTGGGTTGTAAATCAAGCTGTGGGCCTCTTTTCCTTGGAACCAATCAAGCAGCAGAAGTAACTGTAATCCTAAATCGACTTATTCATGTATAAAATGATCCTAAAATCTAGACAATCATCCAGTGGTATGTGAAGCCCAGGGGCTATATCTATTTTATATACTAAATTCTACATAAAAGAGTGCAGAAATAATGCATAACATATACAACAGATTCAGCAGAGTCAGAGATAATTAAAAGGCCAGTACATCCAAAACTGATATTTTAGTTTTTCGTAAAAGTTTCAGAGTTGAATCACCTGACATTTCGGCACTTCAGAGGTTCTTGGTCTTCACAAATGCTGTTGCCATAATGAAGACTTTCCACTGTTCTTTTTGGATTATCTTTAATTGTACATTATGAAGAATACAACCAGTGCTAGAACACACAGAGGTGTATATGTATAGAAAAAAGATAGTTGGGCTTTACTGGCATTGAAAGGGAACAACATTTATATAGAAAAATATAAAACTTCATTACAATTAATTAAACTACAATAGTCTTATAGCCACATAAAATAAAAACAGCTCCACACTGCCTTATAAACAGGTATAGCTGTAAGCTCACTAGACCACAGAGATTAACCTATTACACAATTATATCTATTTGATAGACACATATGAAAATGTATATTGTGGTTGTGAGTCCTCATGTGTCAACGTGTTTCTCTTATTCTGCTTCCTCAAGACTCATGAGAATTAAGCAGTAGTGGCTTATTTAGGCATGTGCAGATGGCATGTGGGGCTCCCCTGGGCCGGGCACTGGAGAAGATAGGAGGCAGGAAGCCAAAAAAACAGCAGTAGGGTTTGTCCTAGAAACAGAATGGAAAAAGAGAGGGGACAGGCAATTCCAAGTATACTGCTAAAAAAAATTGAATTTACACTTTTTAATCAGAGTATAGCATCGAGTCAATTAAACTCCTGGGATATTGATTTGGTCAGTTAAGTAGCAGAGGGGTTGCTAATCAGTTTCAGCTGCTTTGGTGTTAATGAAATTAACAACAGGTGCACTAGATGGGCAACAATGAGACAACCCCCCAAACAGGAATGGTTTTACAGGTGGAGGCCACTAACATTTTTTTTTCCTACTCATCTTTTCTGACTGTTTTTCACTAGTTTTGCATTTGGCTAGGGTCAGTGTCACTACTGGTAGTATGAGGCGATACCTGGACCCTACAGAGCTTGCACAGGCAGTCCAACTCCTCCAGGATGGTACATCAATACTTGCCATTGTCAGAAGGTTTGCTGTGTATCCCAGAACAGTCTCAAGAGCATGAAGGAGATTCCAGGAGACAGGCAGTTACTCTAGGAGAGCTGGACAGGGCCGTAGAAGGTCCTTAACCCATCAGCAGGACCGGTATCTGCTCCTTTGTGCAAGGAGGAACAGGATGAGCACTGCCAGAGCACTAAAAATTACCTCAACAGGCCACCGGTGTGAATGTCTCTGACAAAACAATCAGAAACAGACTTCATGAGGGTGGCCTGAGGGCCCAACACCCTCCAGTGGGCCCTGGGCCCACTGCCTGGCACCATAGAGCTCAACTGGCATTTGCCATTGAACACTAAAATTGGAAGGTCAGTCACTGGCGCCCTGCGCTTTTCACAGATGAGAGCAGGTTCACCCTAAGCACATGTGACTGCAATATTGTTCAGCATTACCATTTTGGTGGTGGGTCAGTGATGGTCTGGGGAGCTGTATCCATGGAGGGACGCACAGACCTCTACAGGCTAGACAATGGCACCCTGACTGCAATTAGGTATCGGGATGAAATCCTTGGACCCATTGGCAGACCCTACGCAGGTGCAGTGGGTCCTGGGTTCCTCCTGGTGCACGACAATGCCTCATGTGGTGAGAGTATGCAGGCAGTTCTTGGAGGATGAAGGAATTGATACCACTGAATGGCCCCCATGCTCGCCTGACCTAAATCCAATAGAACACCTCTGGGATATCATGTGTCGGTCCATTGAACACCACCAGGTTGCTCCTCGGACTGTCCAGGAGCTCAGTGATGCCCTGGCCCAGATCTGGAGATAATACCCCACTACACAATCCGTCGTCTCATTAGGAGCATGCCCCGATGTTGTCAGGCATGCATACAAACCCGTGGGGGCCAAACAAACTATTGAGTACCATTTTAAACTGCAGCAATGAAATTTCAGCAAAATGGACTAGCCTGCTGCATCATTTTTTCACTTTGATTTTTTGAATTCAGTCCTCTGTAGGTTGATAATTTTCATTTTCATCAAACAATGGAGCATCCTTACATTCCTAACACATTACCCAGTCCATATCAGTATAGAGTAGCTATCCAGCATGCTATTTTTCCCCACTGGGATCTGATGTGTTTTCAAAGTGTTCCTTTAATTTTTTTGAGCAGTGTATAATATGGAAAAAGAACATCACCACAAGAGATGTCTCAATGTAATTATCTTGTTTTACATCTGTGTGCATTCAATGCTGACTCTACACAAAGTATGTTCCATAGAATCTTCCCGTAACCAGGATCTCACTGACAGGATTAAGGTAAAGCTAGTAGTATACCAGTGGGTCCAAACAGTAAATACAAGAATGGGCAAGAAGGTCCATACTACCACATCACTCCATATGATCTAAGCTAACAAGTGGCCCACTTCGAATATAGCGTACCATGCAAGGAAATCCATCCTGGGAGTTATACCTGTTTTTAAGATGTGTGCAGCTTTTTGATGTGATTTTATGTGACTATAAGCTTATTGTATTTTAATTAATTGTAATAAAGTTTCATATTTTTATATATAAATGTTGTTCCCTCTCAATACCAGTAAAGTCCAACTACATTTTTTGTATACATAACATTTTTTTTACTCACAACACACAAAGGTGGATGAAAAACCTAAGAACCTTCAGGAGAACAAGAACAGTTAAGAACTGTGGCAGGGCATTAGTGGGATCTAAGCATTTGACTTCTTGTATCTGCACACCTGCTGTGGCTATAATGATGTGCTCCTCCTTTATACCACTGACAGGAGGATCTGGAACAATGGAAGGTAGGTGGGAACATACACAGCCTCCAGGTGGAAAGTTCAAAGTTAGAATATTGGAAAACTGTTTCAAATACTTATCATAATTTTGCTCTTTTGTTACCAATCCATGCCAGCATACATGTATAGTATGTTGCCAGGTTGGCACAGGAAAATAGAGAATTGTATCAAATACTTACGTAGTTTTCCATTCCTGGTGCCAATCCATGGCAGCCTACTACCACATGTATGGTGTCATGTTGGTGTCAGGAAAGCCTATTACACCTTCTTAATGCTTGTGACCACTGGATGGAGCTGGGAACTAAGGCTCACCTATATAGTTGCAGCATCAATCTGATGCTGCAGCTGTCCCCTTCCAGCTCTAAGCCCGAGAACTGAGTGATCACATGACCACTAATTGCTCAGTTCGTGCGTCCTCTTTGAGCGCAGTGTGGTGAATGCCAGTCACTGGCTCTCCACCCTGCCCCTTCAACGCTCACTCGACTCTTAGTCTGCTGTCAGCTGATTCTGGGTGCATTGGAGTGCAAAAGTAAGTGTACTCTGTGACCCACAAAGGAAATATGACCAAACAAACTTTGGCCATACCTTGCTTGCTCTTTTAATGGTGAGAAATTTAGCTTACAGGCCTTGTGTAACAGTGCTTTGTTTTTTTTCATACCTGCTTTTCTCATTTGGAGGGAATGTCTCTCATTCTGAAACCTAATCCCTATATTGCTCCTTTCTCCTCATTTGTAGACTCTTTTGACCTATTGTATAAACCTACTGTTTAAAATATAACAAACGGTAACACTTTTAATTGTAGTTTTGTATACACTGGGGAGGGTTTGGATCACCTGTAGGTATACAAGCACGTTAGCGTCGCGGCAAAACGGAGGCCTTGTGTCGAGTCAGGAGGAGTTGAAGCCTCCCATTCAAGTCTATGGTACCACCCCGCAAACACCTGGCTGGCATTTGCGGTGTGGTTGAGAGCCAGTTTCGGAGCGTGAATACCATTTAACTTCATTATAGGCGTTTGTGGCGCGGTTTTAATGTTTGACAAACACCTATCAACTGCCTCAAAACCGCGCATAGGGCGTTTTGGGAGCATTTGGGGAGCATTCAAAATGCTTCCGAAATGCCTGTCTAACGCCTGTCAAACGCTATAGGGGCGTTTGGCAAGAGTTAGAAATAAAGTCAAGTGTGAAGGAGTCCTTTGGGTTGTCACCAGGACAAGAATAGAGGGGAAATCTTCCAATGGTTACACTAGTTCCCACTTCCTGTTTTGGATATGGGACAGAAAGTGGAGGTTCATTTTTTGGATGGGACACAGATGGCAAAAAAACAAAACAAAAAACTGACAAGGATTATAAACCTCTCCCAGGTTCACATTGATGTATTTTCTAATGGTTGAGATTGCTTTAACCACATGTCAAGTGAAATAACATGAGTTTTTATAGAGTGCGTTCACATACATGCATTCGGCTGCAATCTGACTTTGAAAGGGTCCAATGCGAGTTAGGTGCGTTGCAGTGCAATTCTGAGGTCCATAAACTTCAATGGAAACACTTTCAGATCGTTTATCGGCCCTATTGTCATACAAATGTTCTCCCCCAGTCTTTGCTCACCTCACACAGCACTGAAAACATAGCTGTATCCAAATCAGGGGTGGACTGACAACTCATGGGGCCCCTGGGCAATAGGGGATCATGGGGCCTCTGTGTCCTTGCCCAAACTCAAAAAAGCCTATGAAAAAGGTACCAGGGGCATCTCATGGGGCCCTCTACTGACCCCGGGCCCTCGGGCAGTGCCCGAGTTTCCAAATGGTCAGTCCGCCCCTGATCCAAATCATGTCCAAATTGCATCAGAACTGCATTGGAAGCGCATCAATTCGCACTGCAACTGCCCCTTGAAAACACACTGAAAAGCAGACCACAATTGCACTGCATCAATGTGAACCTAGGCTTACTCTATGCAAAATTAAAAAAAAAAAAGTTTTGTCTTTAGATGCCTATTAAACTTGACTAAACCTATCACTCAACCTCAAATTATTACTTTTTGTTATCTTAAAAAGCCAATATAAGGGAATGGCAGTGGTAAAAAAAAAGCACTTGTGGGTTTAACCAATCATGCCTACATATTTTATTCTACAACATGTCCCTCTTTCTCACCTCAGAAAGTTGGGAGGTATGCATACCTAATTGGGAAAACAGCTTTTCTAGCTCATTGCAGCTATAACTTTCATAAGCCTGCGCCTCAAGGCCAACCTCTTTAACATTACACTAAACACTATCATTTATTTAACATGCTGATAATGTTTAACTCCATTGCCCAGCAGAGCGCACGGTGGGGAGACAATAAAACTCAAATGTCTGCACATTACTTTCACCCAGTGGAGGTGGCAGCACTACATTATTTAACCCAGTTGGAGCATCCAGCCTTGGCAAACGCTATTCACTGTGTGCAATAGCTTCCAGGTAAAAGCCATTACAGGATGGGAAAATGTGATCAGTGCAGCAGTTCTACACCATATTGTATTATACACCACTGCATACAGAGATAGGTAAATGTCCCCATGGACATTAGGCAATGGTTGATGCATAGTTGCCAACATTTAAAAAAAAATTAGGGACACTTTTTTCCTGTATGACCAGAAAGATAGTGTAGGCAGAGGAGTATATTAATTAGGGGTGGGGCATTCATTCATGGGCATGGCCTAATAAGAAAAAAGGATGGTAAAATAGGTGTGGCTTAAAGTATGCTTGGGCGTGGCTTAAACAGGTGTGGTTAAACAGAGTCTGAGATTATCTTGGGCTTCCCCCTCCCCATGCAATTTTGCTCTCCACCCCAACATCCCAAAAAACAAATAAATACAATCATAGACTTATCTAAAAAAAAGTATGTAAACATAAAGAACTGGTTCACGCTCACTGATTGGTTGCTAGAGGTTACAACACATCATTACTGCTCACTGATTGGTTTCTAGAGGTCACTGCAGTTAGTACAGGACTATGGTCTGAGACTGCAGGCATAGTACAGGAGTTGGTCAGAGACTGCAGGCATAGTACAGGGGTTGGTCAGAGACTGCAGGCATAGTAAAAGAAATGTTTAGAGACTGAAGGTGTAGTACAGGAGATGGTCATTGACTGCGTACTTGGCACAAGAGATGATTAAAGACTGCATACATGGCAAATGGGGTGGTCAACGACTGTGTACATGGAACAAGAGATGGTCAGAGACTGCGGACACAGCACAAGAGATGGACAGAGGCTGCGTACATAGCACAAGAGATGGTCAGAGACTGTGTACATGCCACAAGAGATGGTCAGAGACTGCAGACACGGCACAAGAGATGGACAGAGACTGCGGACACAGCTCAAGGGATGGACAGAGACTGCGGACATGGCACAAGAGATGGTCAGAGACTGCGTACATGCCACAAGAGTTGGTCAGAGACTGCGGACATGGCACAAGAGATGGACAGAGACTGCGGACATGGCAGAAGGGATGGACAGCGACTGTGGACACGGCGGAAAGGATGGACAGAGACTGCGGACACGGCACAAGAGATGGACAGAAACTGCAGACATGACTGTCCCTAAACATACAAACAGTTGGCATCCCTGCTACACACTTACTACATTCACACATGCTACATACACACATGCTACCAGGCCCAGACTGGCCATAGGACACACCGGGCATTTGCCCAGTGGGCCGGGGCTGCCTGAATAGGAGAGGTGGCCGGGTGGCACATAGAGGTAGAGAACTGTGCATTTTTCTTGGTTCCTCTATGCACTACCGGCCGCCTCTCTTATCTATCTCCTGCAGGCTGCATACCCTGGGCTCCTGTATGCTCCCCTCATCCCCTGGAGCCCTGCGGGGGATATGTCAGCATATTCTGTCCCCAGTGCTGACAGTGTCCCTGCCACCACAGATGGGAGAGGAGAGAGAGCTCTTGAGAAATTGTAATAAAAATAAAAACCTACTGACACTAGTGACAGAACTACCAGGGTCGCAAGGGTCAATCTTGCGACCGGGCCCTGGTGTTCTGCCACTGAGCTGTGAGGAAAGGGCCTCCAGGCTTTGAGCTGCTCAGTCCAAAATTCCATGGCCTATTTTTTGTCCCAGTTCGGGCCTGCATGCTACATTCACACATGCTACATATACATACACTACATACATCCCACAATCACAGCACTTACCTTCGTCATTGCTCACGCTGCCCTAGGTAAAAGGAGGGGCCAAGCGCGATTATCTGTGAGGCTGGTCACACCCCTTCCCACTCACACTGTCAAGCCTCACAGGGAGCCCTCAATTAGAGAGCCTGGACAGAGGAGGGAGAGGGGAGGACGAGTGATCTGTTCTCACGTCTCTCTGTTCAGAAGCACAAGAATTGTGGTGCCGTCCACCTGGGACAGGGGACACACAATCTGGGAATATTTCCTATTTTTGGGGCAATCCGTGAGTTGGCAACTATGATTGATGTTGTTATGATCAGGCAATGACTGACATATCTATAGGTCATTTCAGACTGCAGCAAACACCCTGCTCAATGGAACATGAGGGAGACGTCTGTTGGAAAGTTTGGATCCTTTTGGCTGACAGACATAAAATGGTTGTCAGGAATGCACAGCATTCCCTTAAAGTGGATGTAAACCCTTAAATAAACCCAGTGAATTGACTTGCCTCATGTGATACACAGAGATGAAACAAATCCTCCTACATACGTTTGACATGTTTATCTACATCTTCCCCTGCATCCATTCAAATTGCAGAATTTACACAGGATCTCTCATCTCTGAAAGGCAGGGGGCGGGGAACTGAATTTACACTCAGTGAGGAGAGCTCTGAGAGATGATTGGAGGGAAGGGACACACCCCCTTCACACAGCTCCCAGGAACAGAGTTGAGGCTGTCAATCACAGGCTGTGCCTTCCCCTGTCACCATTTTTCTCTTGGTGTCAGGAAAACTCATTAGAAGGGACTGATAGTGATAACAGAGGAACGAGGCAGCAGACAGAAATGACACTATGTAGAGAGATAAATAGGCACTATGTGCTTTGTTTAGATTTCATGTCTGAAGTTTAAAACTACTTTAACCTCTTACCTACTGGGCACTTTTACCCCCTTCCTGGCCAGGTACATTTTCACCTTTCAGTGCTACCGCACTTTGAATGACAATTGCACGGTCATGCAACACTGTACCCAAACAAAATTGTTATCATTTTATTGAGACATATATAGCTTTCTTTTGGTGATATTTAATCACCACTGGGATTTTTATTTTTTGCTAAACAAACTAAAAAAAATTTTGGAAAAAAAAAAGTTTTTTCTTAGTTTCTGCTATAAAATTTTGTAAATAAGTAATTTTTCTTCTTCACTGATGTGCGCTAATGAGACTGCAGTGATGGGCACTGATAGGCTGCACTGATGGGCACTGATAGGTGGCACTGATGAGGAAGCAGTGATAGGCGGTACTGATGGGCTCTGACATGCATCACTGGAGGGCATTAATAGGCATCACTAATCGGCACTAAAAGGCAGCACTCATATATGGCACTAATAGGCGGCACTGATGGGCACTGATAGGCGGCACTGACATCCTCCCAGAACGAGAGAGCCAAAGCCCTCCCATCATTTCCTTATATGGCGGATGGGAGGCGGTTAAAAAACTCAATTCACAAACCTCACATACCAGGATAAGTATTGCTGGTGGAAGTCACATTCAAGTGGACTTGTTCTGTAAGTTGAGGATGTTTTGCAGCTCATCTAAGCCACTTCTTGTGTTCTAATGAGTGTCAGGAACATACCTATGAACGTACATATGTACAGTATATCGAAACAGCTAGCACAGCCATCTCAGAAGGATAAATAAGAATCTTCACAGATGTACAGAATAAGGATCCTATTTTTTCCTTTTGATGTACAGGCTGCTGGATCCTGGAGAAATCTTTACTACAGGGATGCCTGTCCTCTTCCTGGCTCTGAACTTTGGGTCTTCAGGCAGAACAGCAGTACAGATGGTACGACAGGAACATGCCCCCTCCTGCTCTCTCCTCCATTGGGAAAAGTTACTACTAATTACACTGCTTGTAACACGATTTGTGACTATTCTCCCTATGGAGAGAATTCACAGATCATTCACAAACCATATTACAGGCAGTGTTATCAACAAAATAACTTTTCTGAATGGAGGAGGAAGGAGAAGGGGAGTCCCTGTCAGACCATCTGTACTACTGTTCTGCTTAAAGACCCAAAGCTGTTACCTATTGTAACACCAGATGTTCAGAGACAGGAAGAGGACAGGCATTCTCGCAGTGAAGATTTCTCCAAGATCCAGCTCTCTGGAAAACATGGGACATACGTCGTTACAGGTAAGTGATGTGACTAAAGATGTAGGAAATGTTTTATTATTTTTATTAGCTAAATGTCATCATTAAAGCTGTGGTGATTTCCTCTCACTTCTAGTTTGGTAACCAAATGAAATCTCTCCAAAGGGACAGCAAAAAATCACTTTCTTTAATAGAGTAGGAAACCATTTAGAACCTCTGTTCAATTCCTGTTGCTGCCAGTGTCTCTATTGGAAAGATTTCCTTACTTCCTGTGGGGGTCATTGATACAGGAAGTGAGGGTAATTCTCCCGAGTAGGGACACAGCAGTAAAAAATCTGACAGACATTCTCACATCGACCTTTCCTTTGAATCCACTCACATCTTCAACATGCTGAAGACGCAACGACTTTAGGAATGCAGAACTTTCATGCATGCCATCTCTCAAGCCTCTGAAACACTACTGCACCTGTGATCTTTACCACTCACGCAACATGTATGTTGAGTTCTGTTTATGTTATCAATTTGCTAATATCATCTGTAATACCTAAAAACTAAAATAATAAAATACTTATGAAAGATGAAATGAAAAGTGACAGAGGCTCTTACCCATCATCCTCACAAAAAAAGGTTTTTCTGGAATTGGGCTTTAAACTGAGGTCTCTGAGACTATGAGTCACTTCTATTCC